CATCTGGACCATCCAGAAATGATCTTGACTCTTTATCCCAATTCCACCTTCAGTTCAGTGTGGACAAAAGCATTATTTGTCCCACCTCTGCCTTCTGTGAGAATTCCCAGGGGGATTTCCCTAAGGGTCCTAGTCTCATGGATCGGGAGCCAGTGCCAGCCTCTCCCCCTGCCTGTCCTTCCTGCTCTCCATCTCAAACGGATGCACCCTTGTTCTTCTCTGGTGCCAGGACCAAAAATGCCCTCCTCCCCTGGCCATCTCCATCTTCTTACCCTCAGCGGTACCCACAGAAACTCGATGTTTGCAAAAACAGCTGCAAAAGCTGTAGTTCCCATGTGGAGAGATGCCACCTGTGGAGTCTTGCTGGATCCCTGGGTCTCTCCTTAAAGCAGGATTTAGAGGGAGAAGTGAAGATAAGTCAAGGATGTGGGTGAGGCGTGGTGAGGGGAGAGCTGCAGAATGGGGGAGGGAGAAGAGGCTGAAGGTGGGCTGGAGAAGTGGGAAGCGTGGCCGGGGGTGCTATTCTTCTCCCTATCCCAGAGGCTTCACTGAGTCAGAGCACCTGGATTCACATCCTAGCTCCGAGGGAACTCGTTAAGTTCCTCTTTCTCTGTACCCGTTTTCTCATCTGTAAAATGGGTTGCTATCTGATCGTTAGCTATTATTCTTAGCTATTATTAACTCTGTGTAAAACGGAGTTAGAGAATGAGAGAGAAACAATGAGGGGGTAGCTGGAAGATGGGGCTGGAGGGCCATAGAGGTCTTATCTGGGATGATTTTTTTATTTTATTTTTTTAAATATATTTTATTGATTTTTTACAGAGAGGAAGGGGAGAGATATAGAGAGTTAGAAACATCGATGAGAGAGAAACACCGATCAGCTGCCTACTGAATTTTTTAAAAAAAATACATTCCTTTATTGATTTCAGAGAGGAAGGGAGGAGTGAGAGATAGAAACATCAATGATGAGAATCATTGATCAGCTGCCTCCTGCACACCCCCTACTGGGGATCGAGCCCACAACCCAGGCATGTGCCCTTGGCTGGAATCGAACCTGGGACCCTTCAGTCCGCAGGCGGACGCTCTATACACTGAGCCAAGCCGGCCAGGGCCTGGAATGATTTTTACATGCTCTGGAGTAAAATGAAAATTTTATGTAAGAACTGAGTGAGGGGTTGGCTCCTCCAGCCCCTTTTGAAGGTGTGTTTTTTGGGACAAGGGGTTCCCCCTTGGTTTCCAGATCCACAGATACCCAAGACCCAGCAATGATAAAGGTTGGCGATCACAAGGGACTTTCTGGGGGGGGGCAGCCCCTGAAAAGGGAGGTGGCGGAAAGATGGGGTGGAGCTCCCATTTCCACTTCCCCCACCCCAAGCTCTGGCGTGTCTCACAACCCTAACAACTCTAGCCACTCAAGGTCCCACAACCGCCAGGAGCAGCGCCTGTATGTGGAGTCCCTCTGGCAAGGGCACCACAGCTCCATCCGGTTGCCAGGAGGCTGTAAACCACCCAATTCACCACATGTTAAGCAATACTGAATAGATTTAATTACCCTCTTGTTTAATTTCCTTTTTGATAATGTTTAAACTGGTTCTAAAACTCCAGGTCTGTTCCCAGCCGATTCAGGACGGGAAATCCTTACCCACCTAAGTACCCTTTTGCCACCCCGCCCCTCAGCTCCTCCAATGACCCTGCCTCTGCTGGGCTCCGGATATTGGCTCCTGTAGGGGCCTCTGCTTTATGGGACCCAGGGGTAAATATTGACGAAGTCTAAACAGGTCCGATCCAGAGATGAATGCGCGTTGGCTTCCCCTTAGGAGGGGAGGGGAGGCTGGCTGGGCAGCTCCTCTCGAATGGAAAGGCATCGTTTTGGCAAATATCTGGGCCCTGGCTCCTTGTAGCACAGAGAGCTTCGAAACTGCAGGAGACAGTTAAAACCGAAAATGGGGCAACAGGACATCTTGTTTCTAAGAATGAGGGGGTTTTGGTCGGGGGGGGCGGGGGTGTCACAGGAGGGGCAGCACTGCCAGGAATAGAGCTTGGGTTTTACACACTCGGGGCCTGCCCAGCACCCTTCACTGGGTCGCTGTGAACACGTGGGTCTTCGGATGCAACCTAACACCCTCCTCCTACCCAGCACCAGTCTTCCTCCCTCCTCTCCACCTTTTTACAGCCTGGGGTCCCAGCTGACACAGCAGAGAGCCACGTGTCAGGGTTTGAAACCTGGAGCTTTGGTATTTCCAGGCAGAGTTGTGGAGGGGGAAGTGAAGGCCTGCAGCTGGGCCTGCCACCTAGATTTCCATGTCCGTAAACGACAGCCATTCCTCCTGCAGACTCCGTAATGGACGGGCAAGTACCTCTTGATGGGCATCACAGGAGCGGAGGGTGCCGGCTGCTCCGCCAAGCCCGCCCCCCACCATGGGATTCCAATTCCTCTTTCTAGCTGAGGTCTTGAGCCCCACGCTTCTCATCTCACCCCATCAGCTCCTACGGACATATGTGCACCTATTGCAGCACCTCGACAACTCTAAAAAAAAGGAAGAAAATTAATCAAAACGAGAACTGAAATTAACCCGATCTCTCACTGCCTCTCAGAGAGCACAGGAGAGCTCTGTGAGGGGCACCATCTGGAAGAGGGTGCCCAGGGCTCTGACACGGGAAGAACCGGGTCAGCGTGGTGGCCGAACCTGAAAACAGGACACGGAAGAGAGGCTCAGAGGAACTGTGGCCAATGGGAGGGGAGGGGGCAAGGCCGTTTCTGAGCACAGCATGCAAATGAGATGAAAACAAGTCGTCTAATATTGGAATCCCCGATCCTTGTTTGTGACTATCAGTAACGACAACAGAAAAAGGAGGTAGCAGTTCCTTTTGTTCGGGCCACCTTGCCCCTCCGGGGGGCGGAAAGGCCCCTCCCTGGCTCTCCCCTCACCGGCACCATCAGCACCTCAGACATTCAGAGACAGCACTTCATGGGGTTCCAGGTGTTTAATTTTCCTTTCTTTACCTTTTATCGTTTTTTTTTTTGTTTCTGTTTTGCTGTTTTTTTACACAATCAAATTGGTAGAAAAATGGTTGGCGCTGGTGGGCCTTTGGGGGTCCATTGAAAATCCCCCCCCAATTCAGGCGGAGGTTTCAGGTCATGGTTGGTGAGCTGGGGGATAAGGTCAGGGCTCATAGAGATTTCCCAACTCACCCTAGAACTTTGTTTCCAAATGGGTGCGGAAGAGGTCAGACTAGTTCCCCCATTGCTATGGATGAGGGGGTGAAGTCATTGTTTCCCCCACCCGTCAAGTTCTTCAGAGATGTGGAGATAGAAGGCTGCAATTTCTAATCGCCTACAATCTTCTCTTAAAAATATAAAACACGTGCAGTTGGCTTTGGTACAAAAAAAAAAAAAGAAAACAACAAAAAGACATTCTGGTCCCCTGTGGGTTTCCCCCTCACCCCCAACAGACCATGATGGCCACCTCAACCTCCATTCCATCCACTCTAGGAAGCCAGGTTGACTCCCCGGGGTTCCACCGAGGACGGAGAGAAGAGAGAACAGCAGTAAGAGGTTGAGGGGAAAGGGATATGGCCCTGCCCATAGCCCTTCTTGAAGGGGCAGTCGGGTCCTACAGCTGCAGCCTCTCCTCAAAGACGATGTTGCCGGGAGGGTGGCAGGGCTGGAATCCGGCAGCTGCATGGTTACGTCTGAATAAACCCCAGTAGTGTTAAAGGACAAGGCCCCTTGTTCCCTATGGCTTGGCTCCCATGTCCCTGGTCCTCTAAATCCCCTTTCTCCCTCCATAACTAATAAACAATAAATAAATAAACTTTCCTAAAGTCGAGGGAAGAAGGCATGAAGAATTGGCATCTGTGGTGTACTTCTGGATGCCACCAGGGGGCGCTGTGGCCTAACTCCCCCCAGCTTCCTAAATGGCCCCAGGTATCCAAGAATCCCAAGAGCTGGCAAGGACAAATCAGCAGTTCAAGTGTTCCCTGCTCACTGGCAGGTCGGAGTCCCCAGGGCTTGCCTCCCTCAGTAATATTCTTCAGGGGGCACAGGAAGGAGGGAGGGGCCCCCTTAGCTCTCCGGAGCTACAGGCTCCCCATCGCGGCTCTCCGTCTCCTCGGGTATGTCCTGCATTCTGGTGAAATCTGCGGGGGGCAGGGCAAAGTTAGTGCGTGGACAGAGGCTCCATGAGCACCCACCCTGCACTAATGCCCCCCCATCTGTGAGCTCTGCGGGCTGTGAGGGAGGACCAACGTCGGTGAATCCATGACGAGGGGAAAACCTCTGTCAACAAAGTTAGCGATGTGCTCACACCTTGGTAGGTACTTTATATACTGGTAAGTGTACGAAGACACAATCTATACTAATAAAAGCCTAAGTGGCCCTTGCCCGTGACATCATCACAAGATGGCCACCACAAGATGGCCACATGAATAGCGGAGGTGGGGCCTGCCAGCCAATCTGTGCAGTGAGGCCTGGGGTCACATGGCTCTGCGTGGTACGGAGGAGATTGGTCCTGGCATCTCCGCCGCCTCGCACGGAGGAGGCAAGTCCCAGCTGAGGAGGAGGAGGGTCTCAACAGGGAAGGGCAGAGGTGGGCGATCGAGCTGGCAGAGGTGGGCAGTTGGGGGCGATCGGGCTGGCAGGGGAGCCGTTAGGTGTCGATCAGGCTGGCAGGAGAGTGGTCAGGGGTTGATCTGGCTCCGACTGCCGGTTTACCCAAAGAATCGGGCCTAAACCAGCAGTCGGACATCCCCTGCGGGGTCCCAGATTGGAGAGGGGGCAGGCTGAGGGTCACCCCCTCCCCATGCACAAATTTTGTGCACTGGGCCACTAGTTTGATTAATAAAATAACAAGATATTTTAAGATTGCTATATGAAGTTATAGTAGCGTTGGGTTATTTTGTACTTCCTGAGCCAACTAAAAGAACTTGGAAGTCTGTGACTTTTTTTTTAACTTAAAAAAAATCTCTTTCTAAAAATAAATTTATTTCTAACCCTGGCTGGGTAGCTCAGTTGGTTAGAGCATCATCCCAATATGCCAAGGTTGCTGGTTCAGTCCCGGGTCAGGGCACATATAAGAATCAACTAATGAAAGCATAAATAAGTGGATGTTTCTCTCTCTCTCTCCCTTCCTTTCTCTCTCTAACATATATGTATTTCTACTTGAAAAGGCTGGGAATCAAATGACTTACTAGAGAAGGAGTGGCCCCTACATTCTTTGCTTCCTAGAGTTTCACCACTCACTTGCCATTGGACAAAACAGGAAATCCTTGTGTGCTTCCCAAGGGTTACCGTAGACCCCAGTGGTTAGTGAGGGACCTTCCTAAATGTCCCCGTGCTCCAGGACACAGGCCCCACTAGGAAAGCGCAGCCCCAGGGTCCGAACCCAGGTGGCACCCCTCTTCCATTCCACGTCTCTGCCAGGATCTCACCTCGAGGACTATGGGGCGGAGACAGGCGGCTGCTTCCTTCCTCCTCGCTGCCAGTGTCAGGGTCGCTGCTGTCTTGTAGCCGCTCCTCGGGGCTGCCCAGCTCCTGCCCCTCTCGATCCTCAAAGGGCCGATGGACAGCGCGGACAGTCACAGGCAAATCCAGGCGGTCATGGCCTCGACTGGGCTGTGGGCCGCGGGCGAGAAAAGCAGCGGGTCAGGGACTGAGGCGTGTGACAACTGTAGGCCCCTGCTCAGCTGGGGCAATAGCCGTCTGGGCCCCAAGGTCAATGCTCTCCAGTACCTCCACCCCTGGCTGACTTCTTTCTGCACCCCCCTGAAATGTTCAGTGCTCTCACTAGTCCTTCGAGTCTGATGCCCCATTTCATTTGGGCTCAAGTCCCCAGTCCCTTTCAGGTTCTCCCTTGGGCCCTGAAGTCCACCTCAGGTCAGTTCACTCCTCCAAGCTCCCTTACCTGAGGGGGGCTGAAACTCAAGTACAGGGCATCGCCGGCTGGCAGGCTCCGGCGCCGGGGATCCAG